CCGGGTCCTCATTTTATCCACCTCGGAAGGATGGAAGGCTGAGTCAATCCTGAGCCGGTGAGATTTGAACAGCTGAACTGCAGAACTGCAGTCAGTTGAAGTAGCCTGCAGTGCTGCATTTGACCACTGTGCCACCTCGGCTCTACACGAGTAAAACAAATTCATTTCTGTAGAGTCTGGAGGCCGCATAAAAATACACCCCATTCTTTTAAGAATAGTTGTTGTCGGGAGTTGGTGAACACAGGTATGTCACCCAAAATGTTAAAGTGTGTTACCTTTGACACATGTGTCATAGGTTCACCATCACTGGACTAGAGTGGCAAAGGAAACGGCCCCTGAAGGCCCTGACAACTGGTGTATATGCCTTATATTCTGTAGGGAGAACCAGGCGGGCAAGGACTGAGGCAAGACAGGCTTGTCAAACAACTGCCCTTTATTAGGGTAACACCTAACAACAAACAAGAGGCAACTCCAGAACCGGCAACAGGGAAAATCCCGTTTGACAGCTCTTTATATACTAGCTGCCAAACGGGCAACCAATCACGTCCCTCCATTCTCCCACTCTGGCTGTCAAACCCTCAGCCAATCGGAGGAGTCTCTGCATGGGCACGTCGGTGCAGACATAACACCTTACAAATTACATCAGTAGTTTTGATTGGTTGAAGACATTTACCTCACAATGCACCTTAACTTTTGGTGGACTCTTCTCTGTTTCTGGACAGATTTCCAAACTTCCTCATGGAGGCCTAGTGACTATTCTAATTTTTTTTCCTTAAGGATTTCCAGCAGTTCTTTAGTGTGGTGCCATCAGTAGGATGGGGCTTGTGAAAAGCAGAGTACTAGATACACTACTGCAAAAATAGTTTACTTTTGCAGACCATAATTCAGATGGTGGTTAAGACTCTGCCTTAATTTCAGTCACAGACTCAGACTAGGTGCAGGCCATACTCCTAACCAAATGTTTGCACAGCACGTCATGTGAACGAGGTCACTGTTTAATCAGATTCCAACTATGAACTGAATACTCTCCAACTTCCAGGTCTGCATTGGTAAGGATACTCCTTCAGCATCACCTTTCTGTATTGTTAGAATTGCAGGTAGTCCTCAATTTACAACCGTTCAGTTAGTGAGTGTTTGAAGTAACAATGGCACTGAAAAAAGTCACTTATGACAATTTTTCACAATTACAATTCTGCAGCATCCCCATGGTCATGAGATCAAAATTCAGATACTTGGCAACTGGCATGTATTTATGATGGTTGCAGTGTCCTGGGGTCATGTGATTACCTTATGCCACCTCATGACAAACAGAGTTGATGGGGAAATCAGATTCACTTAACAACTGGTTACTTAACAACTGCAGTGATTCACTTAACAACTGTGGCAAGAAAGGTTGTGAAAGGGGGCAAAACTCATTTAACAAATGTCTCACTTAGCAACAGAAATTTTGGTTGTAAACTGAGGACTAGATATACAGGCAACTTTCTGTATTATTGGGATTAGAGGCAAGAAAGAGCAGCATTATTTAAAGTAATGGGCAGAATTAAATGGTTCAAAATATTTGCATAGGCTTTAGATGGAAACAAAATTTGGGTATTGTTAGTTAACACTGTTTGTTTAAACAATGGGGTAGAAGAAAGAAAGAAAGAAACCTGGGCTTCCTCCTGTTGCTTTTTCAGTTGTTCCAACATGGCCTTGAATTCTGCTTCCTTCTGCTCTGCCTCTTCCAATGTAGCCTGGTTTTGTTCTTCATAGGCCATAGCCACTACAGCCAAAATCAAGTTCACCAAGTAGAATGATCCAACAAAAATAACGAGGACAAAAAAGATCATGTAGGTTTTTCCTGCTGCTCGCAATGTCTGTAAAGAAGGGAGGGCAGTTGTAAGATTTCCTTACGGCACCATCAAGTAAAAGAAGAAGTTATTGTGCACTGCCTCTTCCTCATTGCATATCTCTCTACCGTAGTATTCCTGATACTTGGAATTAACTTTTCGTTTTGTCTACAAGGGACTTCTAATACCCTGTTCCTTCTCTGAAGCATTCTGCTGTCCTGCCTCAATAGGAGACTAGCCACTGTGGCTAGGAGCTTCATTTCTCATTGACATTTCTATTGGGAAAACCATTCGTCAACTCTACCCATCATAACTGATCATCTTTTCAAGAATGAAACAGCCATACTGTATATGTATCTATACCTCTCTTTAGCACAGCTGAAGTTTTGCAGCAGCTAATTCAAGTCAAATCATCACATAGGTCTAGTGCAAACATTATTTTATACCTAACAACAGCAAGTCTCCTCTTCACTAACCCTTGGCTGATACCAAGTGCCAGCTACCATTTAATGTTAATGTTTCAAACATTAGAAGTTGCTTTTGTCAAGCATCCATAAGCCTTACATTCTTCAAATTGTAAATGATACATAGGGCAGGACAGGACAGGGCAAAGCAGGGCAGAGGTATATAAACCCCTGAGGCCCTGATTATGAACCTAGAAGCAAACCCTGCTGGAAAAATGGCAGAGTTTCTTGCCATTTTGAAAAAGAACCTCTAAACCTGGAGTGCAAGCCTTGGATTTATTTCTAGTCAAATCCCAAAACAGAGCTAAGAAAATTCCAAAACATTGCCTCCTGCAATAGAGAAAAAACAGACAGTTCTGGCTCCCACCTTCTTTACAGTGCAAATCTAACTATTGCAGCCTCTGGACACTCAGCTCCAGCCATTAAAACGCTGCCCATCCCTAATTTAAGGCAAGAAACATGATCATGGATAGACATACTTACTAACTGATACAAGTTTTCCCAAAAGTCCTGAGTCATGAGGCGAAATAAGGCCAGGAAGGCCCAACTAAAAGTATCAAAACTGGTATAGCCGTAGTTTGGATTCCTCCCTGCTTTCATACACGTGTATCCTTCTGGGCACTGGCTGCAGGCAAGATGGAAGGAGATGTTTCAGATTTGGGAGAGTAGAAAATATCCAATTCCAAAGGCAAAGATTGACCACAGTCGTTTTCACAATTCGTCTTTCGACTATCGGCTTTGTGCAAAACGGATTGATATTACCACAGGAGTGAAGCAAAGGCTTGCAGTCAGGTAGGCTCTTGGGAGTTTTTATTGACTCAACTTTATTTTTACTGACTCAACATTATTAGAATGATTTCATCTAGGACAGCCTCCCCCATTCTGGTTGTTTTTGATAAGTTGGAGAAACTATTCATAACATGTCCAAAATGGAAACAGAAAAAAACATTAAGAAGAGACTCAGACTGATTTCTCCTAACTCCCTGGAGTATAAGACCAAGTTAAGGGTAAATACAACCAGATTTACAACATGAAGCCAGTTTGTCCTAGTGGTTAAGACACCAGGTTAGAAACTAGGAGACTATGAGTTCTAATCCTGCTTTAGGGATGGAAATAATCTGGGTGACTTGGATCACTCACTCTCCCACCTCACAGAGTTGTTGTTGGGGGAACATAGGAGGAGGAAGGAATAAATTAGGTATACTTGATGCCTTGAGTTTTTAATAAAAATAATAAAGATGGGATAAAAAAACCGTAAAATAAATTCTGATTATTTTAGCCTAACAAAAAAAACCTCTTGTGAAACATGATCTGGTCAATTTCAAAAGGCTGACATGTACAGTAGATACAGGTTAGTCATGGCAATCTTAATTTCTTCTGTACCAACAAGCCAATATGCCGTCTCAGAGAAAGAACTAAATACAACTTTAACGCAAAAACAAAGTAAAAGACCACTTGGACTGTGCTCATTTCTGCATCAATATTTCACAAATATTCAAGAAAGGGTTAATTTGCAAAGCCTCCCATTTAAGCAATGCCTCTTAACATTGCTTAATGTAAAGCATAGGCTCACCATCTGAAAGATTGCAACATAAGATAACGGTGTAGTTACCAACAATTATAGTACTCCATTTCTTTTGACTTGAGGCAAAAGAAAGTGAGCATCCTATTCAGATATGAGGTCACAAATGAATGTGGGTGAAGAGAACAAGTGCAAGTCCAATCCTAATCCTGTACTATAGCAAGGTGCAGTTCATGTTTTACAAAGCTAATGGCGACAGACATCAATAGCAATGGCACTTATATTTATATATAGCTTTCCTAGTACTTTACAGCCCTCTCTAAGGAGTTTACGGAGTCAGCGTACTGCTCCCAACAATCTGGGTTCTCATTTTATCGACGTTGGAAGGATGGAACCTTGAGCCGGTCAGGATCGAACTCCTGGCAGTTAGCAGAATTAGCCTGCAATACTGCATTCTAACCCCTATGCCACCATGGTTCTCAGATAGTTTATTACTAATAAGCTTCCCATTAAAAAAAGAAACAGGTTAATTTTTCAAACAGCCTAAGGCGTCTCAGCACTGGGTAAACAAATTGCTTTACAAATAAATCCATTTATGTCTATATATGGATTAATCTATGTATACTGACTTTTATTTTCCCATTAGCGGAGGAAGACTGGCTGTGGGGAAGAGAGAAGAAAACTCAATTGAGCTGAAAACTTACCCTGCATCAGAACTATTACCACATAACAATGGATCAAGAAACCCAGGTATTGTGTAAAAATTTGCTGGAGGAGATAAAGAAAAACATGTAAGAATAAGCATATTGAGGAAGAACTCAGACATTTAGACCAAATACACTTTTGATCTAAAGCTTCTGAAACTGGAATATACTGCTACCTTTTAGTTCCTCTGCAAAGATCCTTTTTTTCTTGTACATCTTAGGAATTAAACCCTAGAGATTAGATACACTCTGCAAATTTAAATGGGTGGAATTGGAGAATGGAGGAATGATATCATCTGAGTATTGCTTGGAGTTTGTTGTATATTTTATCCTTGATTTTTCCTTAGCTTTTTATTTTCTCATAATTTGCCTGGAAAACATTTGGGTTTTAAATCACACCAAATAAATTTAAAAAGTGCTAGCTTTTCAGACACCTGTGTCAACAATTATTAAAACGTGCTAGCTTTTCAGACACCTATGTCAATAATTATTTTGAATTTTTGCCATTTCATAAAGCAAGTATGATTGGGAAGGCTACATGTCCATAATCACCTATGGCCGAATTATCCATTACCAGCCTGTGTAATACCAAGCACTATTCTGTCAGGAGATTTATAATTTCATTTTCTAATGCCAGTTATATTGTGCTCTTGCATTAACCTTTTAAACCAGTCTTGAAATCCCAAATATACAGCCATTCCAGCAATCTTTTATAATCAGTTATAAAGACATTATTTGGTTTAAATCATTTTTAATAAATACATACACTTTGCCAAACCAAGAGAACAATAATTATAAAAGTAATATTATACCCATAGACAAAATGTTTAAAGGGATTAAGACAGTGATGTGCAGTCAGGGGAGGCAGGGCCTCACCACTGTCATCATGAAAAGAAAAAAAATTAAAGGAAAAAGGCTGCGGTAGTTGCTGCCAGAGTCACAGTGGATGTCACTGCTTAGTCATCATTTAGTCTATCTTTATAATCACTCAAGCAGAGTTAAGCAAGGGTTAAAAGGCGAAAAATTCCTTATGTAGATGAGGCACGTGGTTCTCTCGCCTCCTCCTCCTCTAGAGGGCACTTTTTTTAGAGGCTTTTTTTAAACAGTTAAGCAGAGTCATCCATTGGAGGCTCTGGTAGCAGCTAATCCAGCCTGACTTCAGCAGCTCTTGCCTTTTTCTTTTTACATTTTTTACATTTTCATCATGGCAGACAAGAGGAGAGTTGAAATCCTCTGTGAAACAGGTGGAAAAGGTATGTGGGTCGGAGGGAGGGGGGAGGAATTCAAAATTATTGTAATTTGTAAGTAATTTTATTATTGTAAGTAATGTCTGTGTGTGTGTGTTTTACTGGCACTTTTTATGTGGGACACAAAGGGGAGGCGGGAAGAGAAGAAAATTGCAAATTTACGACCAATTAATTCGAGTAAAGTTTGCGCCATCTCCTCTAAATTGTTGCAAAAAATCTTTTCTCCCGCCTTGCAAAGGCGGCATTTGGGGAGGCCCAGTTGCTGGCTTCCAGTTCATTTCGCAACCTGCGGCCGGGAGGCGAGGCTGAGGTGGCCTCCTCCTGCTCTCCCTTCGGTCTCGCTTCGCCCAAGGCCCCACTTCCGCCGCCAGTTCCTCTGCTCACACCCAGGGCTTTGTGGGCTGGCCCTGCTTCCTGGTCCCAGCACAGCTCAGAAGTTTAGAGAGGGAGGTGCGGCTCAGAGGTAGAGAGAAGGGAATGGTGGTTCCATGGCTTTAAAGTGGCGGCAGGGCTTTAAAGTCCCGGCGCCGTGTCTGCCATAGAGTGGGACATGGCGGTGGGGCTTTGGCGGGGCTTTGGAAAAGCCACGCCGGGGCTTTGGCACGGTTTTCCGAAAGCCCCGCCAAAGCTCCGGCACTGGCAAACATAGGGTGGCTTTTGCCCGCTTGCCTCACCGACCATAAACCTCATCACACGTCACTGGATTAAGACTAATAGAACATCAAAGGAATTTTAAGAAAACAATATGCAAATATAGTGTGTTAAGGAAAAGATAAGTAAGTAGAGATTAAGATATGTACTTGCCATTCAAAGTACAGCAATTGTTGGTCTTAATCAAAGTATTAATGGGGGTAATCCAGTAAATATTACAGTTAATATAGACAGAGAAAATGATAGCAGCAAAAGGTAGCACCTACACATATTGTTGCTGTATTCTTCCCAATCAAATCCCTTGGTGCCATTTTCTAGGTAGGTCTCATTGAGATCGATGGGCCAGACGACACATTTGTTCCTTAGATTCCCCATGAATAGCTGTAGCCCAATTAAAGCAAATACACTGAGGCAAAACACAGTCAAAATCATCACATCGGAGAGTTTCTTCACAGACTGGACCAGGGCTCCCACAATAGTCTTCAGGCCTGAAAATAAGAAACAAACCAGTAATGACAGTTATGTGGAAACATAGACCTAAGCACAAAACAGCCTTTTAGGGTGATCGGATTATAAGTGAAGACAAACAGAATGATCTGTAAGGACTGGCAAGATACAAAGCAACAAATAAAAATAAAAGAGTGGCATGGAAAAGAAAGCATAAGTTTGTCTAACTTTCAGTAAGTGGTGATATACCTATCAGCTCAACTGAATAATACAGCAAAATTTCCTGACTGTTTGGAATGTTGTTTTATTGTCCAAAGAAATTTATATTAATAGGAGGGAGCAGGATGGAAAACATGGAATATTGAAACTGCCTATAATTGCTATCAGATAAAAGTTTCTCATCTTAATACAGTTGGTCAGATCAATGGTTCAAAAGGTAGCTAGGAAATGATGGATTTATCTAGATAATAACGAAACATTGCCAGGAGTGAGAGCTTTCTTACACAGTACAACATTCAATTGTGCTGATATATACTTCCCCAGTCATTTACAGAAAATTATATGAAAATCATCTTTACTTTCTTTTTTTCTAAGAAATCAGTGTCATGAATGCCGAGCATAGATAATTTTAATTTGTTTAAACAATGAAAAAAGAAGGGTGAAAGAAGTTAACAGAGCATTCAGAGCACATCTGCCCCCAATCAATTTTCAGATGTCACAGTCTTACATTTATATTCAGGATTCCAAATGAGACAAATTTCATGTCATTTTGTTCAGAGAACTGAGAGACACTGTATAAATGGCTCAGAGAGCATATCTTGGACAGATAAAAACTGTAAATACTTTGCAAAAGATGCCATCCTTTCACATTTATGTTTCTTAAACTATATGCAGAAGTCAAAGTCTCTGCACATAGGCAGAAGCTAGCTATATCTAGAAGAGTTTGGCTTTTATATTAACAGCTGTTGGAGTTTTTATTAGAATCACTAAGAAGAAGAAAATTTTTTTTTTTAAAAAAAGCCTTTGTTATCCTCTAATCACAGCAAATCAATTAATCAAAAAGACTTGTGATTCATCTGATGCTCTTTTGGAAACCAGATCTTAAGAAGTTGAGGCAGGGGGGTGGAAAAGAGTTTTAGAGATTTAAGCATCTACACTACAAGGCTTCGGGCACACATTCTCCTTACCCACTCAACCCTACTCAGTGGTGTATTAACCATTAAGCAGACAAAGCATGTGATTAGGGCACCAGGCCCAAAGGGGTCATCACAAAGTTGCAAGAAAAAAAACACCAAGGAAGATTTGTACAGTATGTACAAAGGAGGGAGACACAAAAGATTTGTCAGTGGTTAGGGCACCAGTGAGCCTTAATCTGCCACTGATCATACTGCATGAAAATAATCTAAGAATGGGCCCAATGTTTTGGTTTTAAGGTTGCCTTAAGAATGTACATCAAAAAATGATGTCATGCTACACTTTTGGCATCCCCAAAGGGATGAAATATCTCATTTTAACTGAATGAAAAGTATCTTCTTGTAGAATGCCAAATTAATTGATGAGAGCTTAAACAGATTCCCCCACACCCCAATATGCTCCCAGATACTGCTCCTCTTTCTGAAAGTTTACAAAAGATTTGCAAGATATAGGAAAGTATATTGAACATGTCAGAATAAATACATTTCAGTTATAACTCTTCACATGCATGGAGTAGCTAAGGTGATAATATAATTTAAATAGGGAAAAGGTGGAGGGGGGAGAAGAAAGCCAGGGCAATTAGTTAGCTACGTGAAAGATTACAAGAACCTAATCAATTAACAATCAAAATGTGTTAAAAACTGGGAGTGGGTTATATGCTTTATCAGCACTTCTACTTCACTGTATTTTTGGATCAATCAATTACTGAATTGCAATCTTCTGCCCTCCAAATCTGTTGGGTTATAACAGATAACCCACCATATTAGATTATTGTGATTATAGCCGTGTCATCCACAAGTTCATATTGCAAAAATGAAGGATGGTGCCTGGCTTTGAGGCTTTCTGTGCCCTTTAACATGATTACAGTATGACTATCAAGATCTCTACCTGTAAACACATTCAGGAGAAATGATGAACCCACAGTAACAACCATATATTAAAGCACTGCTTGAGATGCTCCAGAACTGCATACGTACACTGTGATGTACTTTCTGGATTATTTGGTAATAGTTTTAGACATGTTCATTTTTAAAAGACTGCACCAATTTTTGCATTTCCATATTTAATAATGGATAATTTACTTAGCTCAGGCATATTACTACTAAATTCACTGCCCAAACTCTACTTTTTGTATTTTTAGTTGTGGTGTTTTGTTTTGTTTTTATATTTGGTGAACATAGGATTTAAAAGCAAATCACCAGTTTTGAGGGTTTGTTAAGGTTGTTTGATAATTTCAAGTGTTCCAGGAGGCATTCAGATTCTGTGTGTGTGTTCATGCATGTGCTTGTACACGTATCTGTGCAAATGTATGGGAGAAGAGAAAGTGAGAAAGTGAGAAAGTGGCATTTTGGACACAATAGCATCATTTTTCCCCAGCTCATTATGACCAATCCTCGTCCAATTTGATCCAAGTACTATCCAACTTTTGATTCAGCCAGCAGACTTCTCATCAAATTAACCAAAATATTATATATATTATAATCTCCATATCTTTCAATTTATTTAATTTATTTACACACTTAATTCATATACACATTTATTTTAATTTATGGACATTGACATTTATTCTAATTTATAATTTACTATGCATGAAATATGCATAGCAATGAACCACTAAGTGACCTAATTTATTAATTTCCCACTTTATCCCAAGCATTTTTGGATATGTCATTATTATTCCCAGTTCTTCATTTCATTCATTTCCTGATTCAAAGTCCTCAGTTTATTTTCACAATTTTCCTCAGCTATAATGGATATTAATTGATATTTCCAGACTGTTGCTTTCAAGAAAATTCCCAAAGCTCTCCACTTTAGAAGGATTTGGGAGGGTGCTTCTCATTCTGATTTATTCTGTTTTAAGCTTGTAATTACCTTTTTGCAAGGGTTCCTTTCATAAGTGACAATGAATGACTCTTCCAGAACCCAATGCTGTTTTGACATTAGGGATCTGTATGCATTCCTTTCATAACTTGAAGGGAGTCAGCAGTTAAAACCAACCAGTCCCCACTATGAAAACAGGCTTTGTTGAATTGTTGTAATTTTTAAAATTGCATATTCCTTATTATATCTTGTTTGGGCTACTGTGATAAACCCAAAGTAAATGTAATGGATGCCTTTGAAAAACTGCAGCTGAAAGCATATGCACTACTGTCACTTATTGGATACATGTCACTGCTTTGCTATTACAATTTTACTGCCACTACTCAATATCTAGAATTAAGTTTAATGTGTTTTGTGGGGGTTACATTTGTTGGGAAGGCAATCATTTGTGGTCATTGTTTTGCTTTTCTTAAGCTTTGTTCCAGTAGATGTCCTTGTTCCTAGTTTACTGATCCAATTTTAATTATTGTGCTTTTATATGCACCTTTATAATTTAATTATGTCCTTTACACATATTTACACCATTACCTGCTTTGGGAACTTTATTTTCACTAGGGAAATTGGAGTAGATAATTTTAACAAAATGAATAACCAATAGCCACATATGATTGCCCTATCATTTGTGAAATGGATCTAAGTACTTGTTTAATTGCAAAAATGGCCTTTCTATTAAGAACAAATGGGAGCTAAGATGCAGTGGAGCCTGTTAAATATTGTGGTCAAGATATCAGACTAGAAACCCAGAAACAGAGTATTAGTACCTCCTTTGCCACAAATTCAGGTGGGTGACCTCAGGCCTGTCACTTGTACAAGCAAGAGAGGGACAAGAAAAACACTTATCTTGTGTTTTTCTGTATTGAATTGTCCTGTGGTGAGTTGTCGCATGGTAAATTGGCCCATTTCAGCCGCCAGGAAGCAGGCAAGGGAAAACCATTTCCAAAATCTCCCCAAGAAAACTGCAGGGGCTTGTCCAGGCAGTCACCAGGAATCAAAAACTGAGTTGTGACTTGAAGGCACGATTTTAAAAAAATGTGCCTTCAAATCACAAGTCTTGTAGAGGAGAAGTCTCCCTTGTGCTTCCTTTCTCAGAGATATTTCTCCAGATATTAGATACCAGTTTCTTCAGCTGTGGTAACATTATATTTCCTGTTATCTGCTGCCAAGTTGATCAACTACATAACTGGAAAAGTGGGCTTAGTATGTTTGTCACTGAACCTTGGGCTTGTTGTGTCAAAAATTCAGAAAATACCCAACTGGGCTCTTCCGGTTTATCACCACTTCCCCTGAGCAAAAGAGAAACAATTCTCTGTCTCCCCCTTATCTAGCCCTTCCGCTTGAACAGCGGCAGTGGCTGCACCGAGGTTGGGCCTGAAGTAGAGGCCCAGACCTCAATTTCAGCCCTAGCACTACCACCACCATCAAAAAGGCCACCTTGTGGCCCCAGGATCTGCCATGTACCACTTATCGACAGGAGGTGTTCTCTTGATAGGTCCCTATTCAGGGAAGCTCTAGGTCACACAAGGCCTTCATTTTTGAAGTGGCGAAAGCTCTTTCACAGCTTCTGCAGTCTTTGAAAACTGCACAAAAGCACCATTCTCGTGTGATTTTTTTTTTTTTGAGGTTCTGGATGTCCCGAGGGAGCATGGCTCTTGCATGCAATGTCTGGTGGGTCTTGAGACCATACAAGAGCACTCCCCATTTTCATACAGGCTCCACAGGCTCCAAAAATTGTTTGAAAAAAGGGCATACTTCTGAGAATTGTTATCAGGTGTTGGTGAATTCTAGTGTAAGTTATGTATAAGTTAGTGTAATTCTAGTCACCCTAAATATCATGGTCTGTCACTTTTGACACATGTCATAGTTTTGCCATCAATGAGCCAGGCAATGTTTCAATTATTCTGTTACCTGTCAGATCATTTAAAAAGATTGGCAGGCAGAATAGAATATGTGACTCAACTTTCAGTGACAAGCACAAGGGATATTTACTTATTTGAGCTCACATTTCATTTTAATCATTTATGATTTTGAACAGCAATTTACAGTATAGTCTCTGCATCAGATCAAAGGTCTGAAATTATAAAGCTCATTTGAACTGACAGCCTAAGCATTGTATCACTGCCTTGCTTGAGGATTGCTTCACCCATTAGAGGTGAATGCAACCTAATAAAATGTCCTGTTTATCATGGATAAAGTCGTGACACCATGGGTTTTAATATGTAATGGAAATTTTAATTGGGAAGCCAAATTATGTGCTTATGGAGTAATAAATACTTGTGCCAAAGTTTCACAAATAATTATATATGTTCACTTATTTGCTCATTTATTATTATTTATTTATTTGCTTCTAACCTAATCTAGCACATTGTCATTGCATTTTATTTTTCTTATCTTTGAACTTAATAATAAAAAATAGGAAAGCATAACTGGTAAAGATGAATTCATCCAAGTTACCAAACACTTGAAACTATAAAACTATTTTACTAGCAGAATTATAATTCCTTGTTTTGCAGCAGTGCTTTGAGTTGATTGGTTGAGGATCAATCATACTATATTTTATGCTCATGCAAATCACAAGGCCTATTAGAAATGTGCCACAGCCATTTTTAAAATGTGACAAGGAAGGCAAAGGGAGGCAAAGGAAAATGTAAGACACGGTCATTCTTAGAGCATTTCTCACCTGGAATGACAGAGATAGTTTTCAAAGCTCGGAGAACTCTGAAAGTTCTCAAGGCTGACACATTCCCAAGGTCCACAAACTCTGTGACATATCTGCAATGAGGGAGGTCACACACAAAAGAGACACAATGACAATAACACACACCAAAAGGGGAACGAGGAATAAAACAACAACTACAAACAGCAGTACATCACTCACAGGGAGCTGCAACCCAACACCTAACACCAAACTGCCTTACCTGGAATTACAGAAATAGTTTTCAAAGCTCTCAGTACCCTGAAGGTGCGCAGAGCTGAAACATTGCCTAGGTTTACAAACTCTGTTATATACCTGCAGAATTAAACCAGAGTTAATGGCACCATTGGGGTCACCTGCCTCGAAAAGAAGAGTGTAATCTTCAGTTGCAGAGAAACAACTTTCAAACGTAAAATGCTTTGAAGTGTTTAAAAATGGAGAGAAGAAACAAAGATGTAAATAAGACAATTGGAAGTGTTTCTGTTATCACAGGTCAGCTAATTTAATGATAATTTGACAAGGACTTCTCTGACATATGGACCCAAGCATGAAAGACTGACTATCTTCATCAGCTATAGGAATGTGGTCGTGGGGAGAAGTAGGAGATAGAAAAAGAAGTGATCTAGCATCACAAAAATAATGAGAGAAACTAACCAGGATAATAGCAATTAGAACATGATTTTTATTTTTTAAAAAATATTTTTTATTTAAAAAATCATCCATTTTCAATGGGCAGTGTGGGAAAAATAAAAGTTCGTAATAGATTAGGGTGAGCATAAAGTATCAAAAAATTGCTTCCAACTGTAGAGAAAATTGAAGTAAGGTGAAGTAAGAATCAATTATCCAGGGCATGTGGACCCCAAAAGATGGTCATCTATTGTATTAAAAATAAAATTGACAAAGAATCTAACTTTTTTTTTGTGAGATAAAAGAAATGGCGTAAAATATGTTAGTCTTTCAGTTGACATGAGATTATTATTGTTTTTGCTTGAAATCATATGGCTGTCCTTTATTTCCTGGAAAAGAACTGTAATGCAATAGAACAGCTCTACTAACAGTCTGTTCCTGTAAGAACACCTGCTCAGCACACCAGCATATGTGCCATATAGAAACGGAAGTACAGGAACATCCTCTGCAAAGTTCTTGTTTGGTTCTGCTGGGCCTCTTGTTATAGAGGGTGAGGGACTTTGCTCACAGGCAAATTCTGGAATATCTTACATGGCCAAGGGATGTCCACTGCAGACATGGCATTTCTCTGATTCAGTGTTTTTTTAAGTTGTCACCCCAAAGTGGGAAAGTGCCACTGTGCTATTCCATAGGAATTATGATTTACCTTCTCTGATTGCTTTCCTCACCTACGAGCATCACCTCAGCTCCACAGGAAAAAAGGAACAAGACTGCCTCATGTTTTAAAGTGAGAGGCACTGAAAAAGTAAACAGCTGTGTTGGCTAGGTTGGCATTTGTTATCTCAGATTCCTCTTCCCCTGACCCAAGAATTGGTAGAAAATTTAAGAGATGCCTGAACTTGAGCATTTAGAACAGTTGGCTATACAGGTAGTCCTTGTTTAATGACTGCCTAGTTCAGTTCACAGTTACAGCAGTGATGAAAAAGTAACTTTGTGACCAATCCTCCCATTTATGACCTACTCAGGTCTGTAAAACAAAATCAGATTATAAGCACTGTTGTGATTTCATTTAGCAACCATTTCACTTGACAACTGAGTTGCCAGTTGCAATTGTGATGGCTAAACTAGGTTTATTGGTATGTATCTGAGAAAATAGTGGACTTCAAAGGAACATCACAAATTCCTGTACTTGAAGAACAGTTTTTCATTAAACCTATAGTGGATTTGACTGTAGAAGCAAAAATTAAGGTCGTTATTCTTAAACATGTTGTAAAGTATTAACTTCAACCCCCCCCCCCCCAAAAAAAATTAGTGGATTTTCAAAAAAATATTTCCATTAATTCCATAAATGCTGGAGTTAGCTAACATTAAAAAAGAGTTTTACTTTAAAAAAAATCCTGAAATTTTGAATTTTCTCCCTGTGAATGCTATATATACTTCAATTAGAGTTAGTTCACCTAAACCAAAAGTTAACAATCTTGTGGTCTGCATATATTTTGGACTATAATTTCCATACAAACCCAACCAATGCCTAAGTATCGAAGATAATTGGAGTTGCTGACCAAAATATATGGACAACATAGATTTTGATTCCTCATTTAGTTAAGAGATACCCATATATGAAATGAATCAATTTAAATTATATTTATTCACTATATAATATTTTAGCTATAATAGAATTGTTTTCCTTTTTGCTTACTTGTTATATACTACAAAAGTAAAAAAAAATGCAAAATATAAACAAACAAACAAATAAATAGAAAAACCTGAGGCAAATCCAGGAATCAAATACATTTTCCAGCTCATCTGAAATATCTAGGGTAAGAAAAATTAAGACTGGTTGCAAAACAGGTTGTCAACTACAACTACACCAAAATATATATTGCCATAGTTATATTATGGAGAAGGAAGCTTCTCAGTCCTGCAGCTACTGTCAGAATGTTGTATCTTAGTTGTGAAGATCTTCATATCTTACATGTGAAGCCATTTTAAATAACTTACCAGTCATTAGTCCAGAATAATTTTAAAAAAACCCAATGATTGTTTTTTTCTGATTTTCTGGATTACCTCAAAAGTAATATATTTTTTCTTTTCACTTATAGTTATTATATGGCTTCTCCTGACAAGAATAAGACTAATTGCACACTTACGCCATCATGATGACACTGAAGTCTAGCCAGTTCCATGCGTCACGAAGAAAAGTGAAACCATCTATGCAGAAGCCTCTTGCAATAATTTTTACAAGGGATTCAAATGTATATATACCAGTGAATGTGTACCTGTTGAAAGTAAAGAATAATGATGAATAGTACTTATAATGAAGGAGGGTGAAATATATATATTTACATTTTAAAAGCCAAAATTCTGAATATTTATTGACAGTAATTATTTCATAACCCTTTTTCAGGTTTCTGGATGACACTGCAAAATCTTGCTGACCAAAGTGGATCTGTTAAGGAAAACATTTTAACAGAACAGACTTGCAGTATTGCTACAGAGCTGTCATGTGTTGCACAAGCAGTGAAGGGGAGGAGAAAATGTTTTGCTGAGTTAATAAAAGATCTATATCCTTAGATCTTAATACAAGATCTAAGTATACAGATCTTGGTTGGTATAATATTAGGACTGCAATCATGTTTGCAACATTCAGAAAGTGATGCTACTTAGAATCTAATTAAAATCTGCATGAAGTCATGCAAAACTCTGTGTGTATGTGTGTGTGTGTGTGTATACATACATATTTTTACACACAAACACGTGTGTGTATATAAAAATATGCATACCATTCTGATGTACTGAAGTGGCATTAGTTGGTATTTGTACCAACAATAAACTAATTTTTTTGAGAATTCTGACATCTCAGACATCTGGTTGACAATATTTGTTTGTGCTTTCTGGCAACAGAAGTGGATAAAAAAACAACCTGGAATGCTTCATCAGTATCTCTTTTAGCATTATAATGTAACCCAGGATCCTGGTTCCTTTGTTTCCCATCCCAAAAAGTTATAAGTTCAGATTTGCAACACTGGCAACCCACCCAGCGATGGGCAGCTATATAAATTAGATCAATAAATACAATAAAGTATTTTTTTGCCTTAAGATTGGGTAAAGTGACCAGATGTCCCGATTTTGATGGGACAGTCCCTCTTTTGAACAATTTGTTCCGCGTCCCATGGCGTTTTAAAAAAGTCCTGTTTTTTTTTTAAGCACGAAAGGAAAAATGTGCAAAAAGTCACCGGGAGCCCCAGGGATTGTTCCTTGCAAAGCATCATGGTTGCAGAGAATGCAAATGAAGGTGCTTATCTCCCCGCCTGGCTCCGTATGCGTGTATTCAAATCGGAGCCACACTGAGTCCCATTCAGAGGGCGGAGGGACACTGTGCTTTTTTTTGTTTTACCTATGTTCTCACAACCATGCAAAGGTGGGTTTTGCGCTACAAGGATCTTTCTTTCTTTGTTTGCCTGTCTGCGGTTCCGATTGCAGTCATCCTTTGCTTCGGATTAAAGCACTGTTTCTCATTCCTTGCAAAACTGGGGAAACGGCAGGGCCGCCTTCCTCCCCCCTTTCCTTGCAGCACCCTCAGTTGCAAAATGTTCCCCTGATTTGGTTTATATGTTTTCAGCAATGCGATCCAACAAATAGGAAAGTTTTAATAAGATCTTCTGACTTTATTTGGTCTCTGCTGCCCTGCCCCGACCCCATTAGCCCTTGGGTTTTGTCCTCTCCCAAGGAGAGAGTGGGAAGGAGAGGAAGGAAGGAGGGAGGGGGGAAGGAAAAGAAGAAGGGAGGGGGGAAGAAGATGGAAGGAGAAAAGATGGAAGGAAGGAGAATGAATAGAAGGAAGAAGGAGGAAGGAGAAGGAGGAAGATGGAAGAAGAAAGGAAGGAAGAAAAAGAGGAAGGGAGGGAGAAAAGAAGGAAGGAGGTGAGAAGAGAAGGGGAAGAGAGGGAAAGAGCAGAAAGACAAAGAGGATGAAGTTGATAGGCAAGAGGAAGGAGGAAGGAAGGAAGGAAGAAAAAGGGAGGGAGAGAGGAAAGAAGAAAAGATGGAATTAGAAAAGAAAGAATGGAGGGAGGGAGGAAAGGGGAAAATCCTGGAAAACATGCCTTTGAGTTTTTAAAGGATAAAAACAATCCTTTACAGTTTTTCAAAAGTGAGTGCATTCCAGTGCTTAGGAAAATTGGCGGAGAAGGCACTGCTAGGTAGACATAATCTAGTACAATGTTTCTCAACTTTGACAACTTTAAGATGCATGAACTTCAACTCCCAGAATTGTTGGATATCATATTAGCTGGATAATTCTGAGAGTTGCAGTCTACACATCTTAAAGTCGCCAAGATTGATCTAGAAGTTAGCATTCCCTTAGGTAATCCAGCCCGAAGACATTTAAGATAAGGTCTCAGTTTTATTATATCTCCTTCAACCAATGAATGCCTGAAGGTAAACATTAGGAGAGATTTGTTATTTCCCCTTCAGGTGGTAAGAAAAAAAAATTGCATATCAACAATATTATGGACCAGATTTCCCGGTGATCTTCTCCAGTGGTTTAATATAAAGTGGAAAATCTGGAGAGTGGATGAATTGTAGGAACTCCATATCACAATTCCCCAGCAGACTCCAGCAACAGACTTCAGGTACCATAATCTAAGATTCAAGTATGGTACCAATGCCTATTATTCCCAAATGGTCTGCTTGGTGCCATTGCTGTTACTGAAAGCCATTTCTGACCCAAGAAAACAGCCCCTTCATCAGATTCTAGATAAAAATCCATGAAGCCTATTAATGCCATACCAGTCCTGTTTAAAAGGAGATCTAGTTCATATGCTTATACAAGAAGTCAAAATCCTCTCAATTATGTTGCCTAACCAAGCAACATTAAAAAGTTTCTAAAATTATCCATCTTGGAGAGATTCAATATACGCTAAAAATAAATGAATCTAATAATTATCTATTTTAAACAGAAGGAATTCTGTCTTTCTTTTGAGAGACATTTATGACTAGAGTGAGAACATGTTCAATTAACTCCCAGCTTGATATTTTAAACCATATTGGGCAGGGAGTTTATACAGTATATGGCACGCTTTTTCTTCAAAATTGGCAATTATTACTTTAAAGAATTGCTAGATATTATAAACAATTAAAGTGAAACAAACAAAAATATTATTACTTACTCCACCTGTTTTGACCATTCTGGTGGGTTACTAAAAGTCATGAACACACAGTTCGTCAAAATAGTGCACATAATGATCATGCTAAATACTGTAAAACAAAGTCAAGGAAGCACAAAAGGTAAGAAATTTCTTATTGACATTAACAAAAGAACATCAAGCTGATGGTATAACTTGTTTAAATCTGGGAACAAAAATCAAACACTCCCCCCCCCCAAGAAATAGTATTAATAAAGTGTAGATTTGAAACTTTCCTGATAACAAATGTGACAATATGCCTAATTTTGACTTTGGCTTGAGTAGGATTTACACCTTTTTGCAGTTTAGATTACATTGAACCCATCCACATGAGAACAAAGGAGTGCTTTGGGAACCTTAACTGGAATTGAACTCACTTGTACTGCAATTGTATTGAATTATGCTCAATTTACTGAGGAGACACAGGTTTCTCATAATAAGATGCAGAATATGGACACCTAGAGATGACTAATCATAATGGTTTTCAGTCCATGTAGAGCCATAGCATTACCTCATTAATGATTTAGACTCCATTAAATTTAATTAATTCATTTATTACTTCATTTATCAGTTCATTTATCAATTCATTAATTAGTTTGTTTAACTTCCTACTTTTTTTAAAGGATCCAGTGTAAGCCTTTAGAAAAAAAACCTTGTCATTCCTGAAACCGCTTAGCTACATCTCCAACCAAGCCTAGAAACTGCAGCCAATGGGTCCAATATTTCAGCAACATCAGGAGTGCAACAGTTGCCTACCCTGGTTGCAAAATATACCTATGCATTTAGGACATTTCTTTGCTTAAGGAATAAAATTTTAAAAATCCTTTCACATATGAATGTTCAAGAAAATAAAATAAAAAAGAAGCCTATCTGATTTGAAATACTGTATGCACTAACCACTGGTGGTTTCTTATTCATATTTCAAACTGATACCACCTCAAATGTGAAAATGTCTTGGTCTTCTGGTGAGGATTGATTGTGGACTAGATGTCCCTGAAGGAGCAGGGATAGCATTGCAGTGGTGATTGGTGGCAGGATGGTGAATACTAGCTGGTGCAGTCTTTCTGGATAAAGGAGAGATTTTGAGATTGCCCACTTGCATTTTGGACAGCTACTCCTCATGAGAAAACTGTAGGAACTGAGGTTTTTATAATTGGCTCATAAATTGAGCGGCTGGGAGTCAAGGGGTTTCAATCTAACTCACACCCGTAATGCAGCATATATGAACACATGGTTTGACAATCCTCATTTCTTAAACACTTTTAGACTTAGTTAGCTCTAAATTATTTAAATTATTTAGAGCTAAACAGAGATTTTCATAGTAGAAGGATAAGAAAATTCTACTTCGTGAGTCAAACATATTTTTTTCCTGGATTAAAAAGGACAAAAGAGTTTCAACAATTTTAAAAACTTTTTACTTTTGCTTTTGCACTTCTATGGACTGGATAGAGGCTTGGTTGGAACACAAAACAAATTAGGAAACTCCAAATCATGTGATTATGGAACCACAACTTATTTGTTAGCTTCATTCATGCCTCATGCTAAGCTAGAAACAAATCAAACACATTATGGTTTAGTAGAAAGGGTGAACCTACTCCATGTATTTTGAAATGAATTGGTTTGGGGAGTTTCATATATGTTTGCAAAAGTAGGGAGGGGAGGACAATTGAGCATCCAGGTCTGTCTAGGGCAATTGTATGCCCCTATTCATTTCTCAGGCAGTTGCTGCAGGCAGATAAGAAGATCTAAAAAGATGCCTGCAAATTCACTGGGAAGAAAAAGAGGAAGTTATAAGAACTGAATTAGACCCAGAAAAACGATCGCAATCAAGACCCAGTCAGTAAAATAGGCAAAATGAATGTCTTTGAATGAATGATATCATATAATCAGACAACATCCTAAATCTGTACATACTGTACTTAGAAACGGTACAGTTGGAAAAGGTGAATTCTGACTATTCAGTTTTTAGATTTGAGAATTATACCTCAATTGCAAGATAGTTTTATGGACTATTTATGGACTCACACAAAAAGGCAATGCTACACATTTAGAATTAATATGTATCTCTCTTTTGAAATTAATCATTTGATTCATTTTGTAATATTTAGATTCCATATTACACCTCCCTATGTCTGTGTGTCTGTGTGTCTGAGAGACAGGGGGGAGGGAGGGAGGGAGGGAGGGAGGGAAGGAGAGAGAGAGAGAGTCAAGATGCAGCCCCACATAACAATGGGCAGATCTTTCCCAGTTTCCTCTCTGTGGCATCTGAATATGGAGATTTATAGAATGCATTGGGATGTATGTTTAATCCACGTGCTGAGCAGAGGCACTGGCTGACATAGATAATAGGAGAAAACAGTAGCATTTTCAAGTTTTCTCTAGTGTGAGTTCTGCTTGATAGTAAGCACTTCTTGCATAATATCAGTCACAGGTAGTTTTCGACATGACCAGTGATGTGGCTGTTGGAATGAATCCCACTTGATTTTATGACCTTTTTTGCCCCAGTCATTAAATGAATCACAACCATCATTAAGTAAACCGGAGTTCTCCCATTGTTTGTCAGAAATTCTCTGGGAAGGTGGCAAATGGCAATCATGCGACCTTGTAATAAAATACATTGATTGCCAAAGGCACAAATTTTGATCACGTGATCATGATGATGTTGTGACAGTTGTAAGTATGAGGACTGGTAGTAAGTCACTTTTTTCAGTGCAGCCAAAACTTCAAATAATTGTTATATGAATGGTTGTAAATCAAAGACAGCCTATATTTAAATCTACGCATATATCTTGTACGTACATTCCCTAATTATGAAACATCATCCCTATTAATTTGACTTTCATTCACCTACTCTTACAGTTGCTTAGGGAAATTTCAATCTTTCTGAGGCAAGCTATTTCTATAAAATATGTTTTTAAATCCAAATGATGTTTTTTTAAGGCAGCACATTAATCCAGCAAAACAGGAAATAATGACTTCAGAATAAGTGTACACACTACTATGAAAAGGATATGAATGTATCAAAATTTTAATAGCTATTCTCCTCAACAGATTAAAAGGACTTAAAATGTACAAGGCAGGCGTGGCACTAAATCGGAAGAGTGTTTTGCCTCTGTTTAGTACTACAAAGGTCTGCAGAGAAAGAGAAAAAGAAGGAAAAGTTATACATTCATATGCCTAGGAAGAAAGCATTTAATTAAAAAACCATGACTATATCATTCTTACAAAGAATCTTGTTAACCGGGTGATTCTCTGTGTTGAAATCATTTTGAAGATATTCCATAATATACTTTTACTTTAATTGATCTGACAGCTCTGTTAGAACAGCACATAAAAACAGCAACAACAGCAACAATAATATGAATAACAGCAACAATAATATTAACAACAGTAGTGTACATCTTTAAAGCAAATTTATGTATTAATGCTTCATTTACCTGAGAAAAGGTCTCACTGTGAAATGTGGATAACTGTATTACAAGACATTTCTCAACCTTTATCCTAGAAAAGGAGGAATGAAGTAGCACATGGAGAGTGAAAGAATAGACTAGATGTAATGGTGGAAATAACCTTGAGGAAGAAGTGACACAGCCAAGGCAACAGTAAGATAAGAGAAATCTCAGTCCAAAGCAGGAATAGAGTTAGACAAAACCTCTCAGATTGGACCCCCCTCCCCCAGTTCCCTTTAGGATAAAGGCAGGGAGGGGAGAGAGAGAAATTCAGAGTTGCAACGTTCTGTTACTATAACCCTGTAATAAAAGTAGCCTTACCATTCATGACTTTGGTGTTACAGTCTGATCTGTTTCTAAGGGCTGACATTATAGCACTTTGGACAGCAAGTCAAGCTGCCATCTTGTTTTGAGAGTTACGCTCTGCACATAACATTTATATGTTGTACACTATGAAACATATTTCTTCTATATGGAGGGGAGATTCAAAGATTGGTCCTCTTTCTCTGGAGTTTACTTGGAACAGAAGAATTCTGCAACTACTGCTCCCGTTTCTTTCTGTATTATGTATAGAATGGCTTTCAAAAACAGGATCACACGTGTTATTTAACTATTTAAAACATATCAATATGTAGCTCAGTGAAAGAGAGATCACAGCCAACAAGAGGGAAGCCTTAGAAAGACAATCAGTCAAGGAACATGGTTTTCCTTAATAAATATAACTAGAACATTTTAGTTTCTTCTCCATCCAGTGAGTCATATTGCTTTGCATTCATTTTACTCCTCTTCTAGTATTTCTGTAGCATATGGACTTGTATTAGATGCCATTTTATAAATTAGAATAAAGAATATAAATACCTGCCGAATCACCGAGAAGAAGTGATCTTGGTCCTCTGCAAAGCTCTTTCTGCTTTGCTTTGGAAAACAATGCAAATACAAAATCTCTACTCCTGGAGCCCGGGGACATGGATAGTTTATAATTCCCATCCCTAAACACACCTACACCCATACATACCCACACACCAGTGGTGGGTTTCTACTGGTTCAGCCAAACCGGTAGTGGTTTGGTGGCCTGGGTCGTTGGAACCAGCAGCGATCCAGACCTGCCACACCCCTGAACTGGTTCTCCAGCTGGCGCCGTAGGCACCGCCATCTTGTTTTGTGCTTCTGCACAGAACAGTTTTTATCAAATTTTCATCAAGCATGTGCTCGCAGTGCACCCATGAGCGAACCAGCAGTAGTGGCTGCCAGAATCCACCCCTGCCACACACCCCATACTTCCTTATGGATGACTTCTAATATTACCAATCCATTTTCCTTATTGTTGAAAAGAAAATGAAAAAGAAAGAAAAAAATAAAGAAGTGACAGGAAAATACTGGAAGATTACAAATGGAAAAGGGCCCACTGCATTTAGGATCACTAAATATAATTCTATGAAATAGTCATGGCAACTGTACAACGGTAATCCTACGGTAGTATGGATGGTTCCATAGACACACTTGAAATCTTCCTTCGCTCTGATCCAGAGAAGTGCCCAATTATGATGCCCAAAACAGGGCTAACTTGAGCAGCAAATGTACAACTTGACCTGAAGTTAGTAATGGATGCTTCAAGTCCATCCACAAGGCTTACCTCCATATGGAGAATAAAAGACAACTGAAAGAAATGGAACAACCACTGCTTTTTTAAAGCTCTGGAAGAACATTGCCACTGATGGATTAGAAAATGCTTATCTAATATGTAAGCAACTAACTACCGTATTTTTCGGAGTATAAGATGCACCATTTTCTCTCAAAAAAGAAGCTTAAAATCTGGGTACGTCTTATACACTGAATACAGCATTTTTTTTGCCTCCCGAAACCCCGTCCCCTTCACCAATATGGCCATGCATAGCCTTTAGGAGGCTTATAGAGTGCTCCTGGGGACTGGGGAGGGCAGAAATGAGCGAAAAATGGGCCATCTCTTGCTCGTTTTTGCCCCTCCCCTGGAGCACTTTGCAAGCCTCCTAAAGGCTATTTATGCCCTTTTTTGAAAAAACAAACAAACCCGGGTCCATTTTCATGAAAAACGGGCCTCTTTTGGGAGGTCTACAGAGTGCAAAAACTTTTTTAAAAAAATTTGCCTCTTCAAAATCTTGGTGCGTCTTATACTCCGGTGCATCTTATACTCTGAAAAATATGGTAACTAAATAAATATTTAAAAATTACTCTAATTTATCCAAGTTATAAATGGTGCAACAAGTATGATAAATTTGAGTTGAATGAAGATAAGAGTGTGTTTTTGGTCTGTAAAGTCTTAGAAATTATTTCAAACTAACATGCGGTCATCTTCACCACCATTTTCAAAATGCTAAGAAAACTACATCAACCAGTTTGCCTCTCAGCTGACTAATAAGAGAGTGCAGAAAGTGAAACTCAACCACACTTTTATACATTTGTTTTATGGTAGTGATGGTGAACGCCTAATTTGCTCTGCCGGCATCCTTCCCCACAACAAAAGAGAAACAATTCTCTATCTCGCCACTACCATCTGGGCCACTCAGAACAGTGGCAGTTAGGAGCAGTGCCAAGACTAGGCCTAAAGTAGAAGCTGGTCCTTGGCTTCAGCAATAACATCACTGCTGCCACTTGAAAAGGGCGCCTCACACCATTTCCCAAGAAGCACAAGCCTTGAGGAATAGTGTGATTGCACCCATGACCCAGCATCCTCTAGGATCTGCCATGCACCATCTATCTTTAGGCTATGTTCTCTATTCTGTTGACAGGCTCTGTGGCCTACCTGAGGCTGCTCCGGGACTCACAAGGCCTTCAATCTTGAAGCATCTTTAGAGAATGCTCTTCCATAGCCTCTGGAGCCTCTGAGAACCACATAAAAGCATGTCCCGTTCTCATGCAATTTTTGGAGGCTCCAAAGACTGTGAAAAAGTACGGCCATCTCATGCAACTTTCAGAGGGTCTGGAGGCCATGGATGAGCACATCCCATTCTCGTGCAGCCTCTGCAATCTTTGAAAATTGTGTTAGAAAGTATGAGTATGTTTTTGAGAATATTTGTTGTTATGTAGTGAATGCTGGCATATTAACAAAAATGTCATGGTGTAACACCTTTGATGCACATGTCATGGGTTTGTCATCACTGTACCATGGGAACGAGTCTGAGTAACTACAACAGGGGTGTCAAACTCAATGCCCATGGGCTGGATCTGGTCCACGGGGGCCACCCTGGAAACAGCAAAGGACTGGCCCAGGTGCCTCTTCCAGTGAAAATGGAGCTTGGGAGAGCCAGGGGCGGCCCTCCTAAGCTCTGTTTTACCTGGCAGAGGGTTGCAGGAGGTCGTCGCAGCCAAAAACTGAGCCCGGGCCATCACAGGCACTCCCAGGGAGCTGGCCATGCTCCCTGGCCATGCCCACCCCCTGAGGTCAAACACAATCAATGAAATGGAGTTTGACATCCCTGATCTACAACAAAGGAGAGCGGTAAGCTGTCAGCGTCCTATCTCAGGCATGAAAGGCTCCAATCTTTGCTACTGGTCCTGAACCGGGTCCGTGTGTGTGTGCTCACTCGCTCACTTTGCTCACACGCAGTGCTTCTGCACATGCACAAAAACTTCTGCACATTGAGCAGAGCATCCATGATGACATCTGGGTGGGTGGGCGGAGCCTCCTGCCACTACCTCTACTGGTTCACCGGAACTGGGGCAAACCGACAGAATATCACCTATCTCTTTGATCAATTAAAAATGATTGTATGGCTAAAGGTACTATAGATTTACTTCCACAGGAAATGAAGGGAAAGGGAAGGTCATCAGCCAGGAGCCAAGCTGAGTAGGCTTTTTCTTGTCAATAGAAAAACAATCTGCCTCCCTCTGCAAAACTTCAACTGAGAAATTTGGTTCCCCGCCTTCCTGTGTAGTCCCCCCCGCCGCCCCATGATAATACTGAGAAGAACAATATGGCTGCCAATCATCTGTTGCTTAAAAACAGAGTGTTATTTTAACATTTATACACATATTTAAGTGGGCTGCAGGTGATTGTTCTATACGAATAGAAGTGTTCATGTTACAATGAGCAAGTTACACTGGCTCACAGAATGTGTTTATTGCATGAAGGTCCATACACTGTAAATTTCATATGTATTAATAATATTGTAGGCTGGCAGGTAATTATAATTTCTATCAATTCACTTTACGTAAATATAGGATGGTTACTCAGGCATATAAAAGCATTTAGGTGCTTCCTGGAGATCCCAGGTCTAAATTGCAGAGCAGATTTTGTCAACATTTGGATTTGTTGCAAGTTATTTTTAACTGTGCTAAAAAACCAGAGACAGCCCAGTAGGTTCAGCCAAACTTTTACTTCTTTTGTTGGTCATGTCATGCAAAAGTATGATCAAGTTTTATCATCAGTGTCTGTGTTGTTTCTGAAATGAGCAAATATAAAATGAAAGTACCAGTTGCCATGGAAATCTAAAATCCCATAAATGCCAGATGCCGCAAATATACATGGCACTCATTTCTTTTTCTTACTGCTCCTTTTATATAATTTTTGCATCATATTTCGAGAATCTTCCAAATGGCAACCATTTCTTATTATTTTGCCTTATAATGCACATGGACTATTTTTTTTAAAAAAAGAAAAGAATTTCTTTTTTGCTTATGAGGATCAAAAAGCCAAAGAAATATTGC